CTCAGTACTGCAAAATCTTCATCTGTATGGTGCACTATCATATTATTTGGCTATTTAGGGGTGCAGAATTTACTACCCCAAAATGTGTCTCTTTGGCTTGAATATCTTTAAGAACAAAAGATTCATGAAGAAACTTGGACCTTCCCCCTAACTACCTAAAAGAATTTACAATAGAAGGCCTGTTTCAGGAAGGAGCTAATACTATAGATAACTATAGTATTATATGAACTAGGTGTGGTAGACAGCGAGGAAGCTAGCAAGGCCCATTTGATTAAAGTTCTCTCCATGTTTCACTGTCTTTGCAAGGCATGGCAAATTTTTTTTTCCCAAACATTTGCTTTTCCATCTCCACGTGAATTGTCTTTCTCCCCTTTGAATTCCAAAACCATTACCCCCAATTTCCTCCTTTGTCTTTAGCTGAAGATAGCATTTAAGGGGGTAGCTTAGGTCATTTTGGAGAGTTACTCAGTTTTCCTGAGTTTCTCCCATATATACATGCAATTAAACTTTGTTTGATTGTCTCCTGTCATTCTGTCTTATGTCAAGTTAACTCTTAGATTGCCAGAAGAACATAGAAGTGTAGAGGAATGTTTCTTCCTCCTCTACAGCCATCAGTTGACATCACCCAATTATATCCCCATTAGGGCACTGGAATTGCATGACAATACCCTGCTACCCTGCAGTCATTCAAATGACCCAAAATATCCTTTTAAAATCATATTTTTCAAGTATTATTCGAATCCAAATAAAAATTTTAAAGTGTTCATAGAACTTTCAAACCTGCAATTTCGTGTCTGATACCATTCATAAACTGATGACTCTCACATTTGTATCTTTAGCCTGGCCCTCTCCCCTGGACTCCAGACTTGTATTTCCAACAGCCAACACAACATCTCAAACTTTACACATCTCACAACTCAACTCCTGATCTTCTCGTCCCTCTGGCATCCTCCCAACAAGCCTACTCAATCTACAGTCTTCCTCATCTCACTTAATAGCAACTCCATCTTTCTATTTGCTCAGGTCAAAAACTTCAGAGACATCTTTGATTTTTTTTTTTCTTTCACATACCCATCCAATATGTTGGCAAATTTTGCTGGGTGTACCTTCAAAATGTACTCAGAATTTGTTCACGTCACAGCACATCCACTGCCACCACCTTGGTTCAACTACTATCATCCTGCCTGGATTATGGCAGTAGCCTGGCTTTCATTCTTACCTCCCTACAGTCTATTCTCAACACAGTAGCTAGAGTGGTCCTTCAAAACATAAGTCATACGAATCATTTCCTTCTCAATCTGCTCCAATGGCTCCCCATTTCACTCCAGGTAAAAGATAAAAGTCATACCCTTTACTATTGCCTACAGGCCCTACCTGATCTGACCCCTGTCACTTTTCTGATTCAATCTCTTATTCCTCTCCCACTGACTGACTACATTCCAGCCACTGAAATTGGCCCCTTGCTGTTCCTTGGACAGCTCCTGACTCAAGGCCTTTGCACTGGCTGTTCCATCTGTCTGAAATGCTCTCCTAGACAACTGTGTGGCTTCCTCCCTCACTTCCTTCATATATTTATTCAGTGAAGACCACCATGACTCCTTCCCCAATTTAAAGTTACAACTGGAGCCAATCCCACCTCAACATTTCCAATCCCCATTACCTCCCTTACTTTTCCTGTAACAATTGCTATCTTCTAATATACCATATTATTTATTATTTATCACATTTTTTTGTTTATTATCTGTCCTCCCCAATAGAATTTAAGGCCCATGAGGGCAGAAATTTTTGTCTGATTTATTCACTGTTGTATCCTTACTATATATAACAGTATCGGCACATAGCAGGTATTCAATAATATTTGTTAATGACTCTGGTTTATGAAATACATATTTACATACTGACTTATTTCAAACAGATTTTGAGGTGATCTGCAGTAAGATTAATGAAACAGAAATATGAAAGAATAAATTTAATGGCCAGAGCAGAAAACTTCAGTCTGGACTTTCTGGAGAAAATGAGGGAACCAACCAGAAAAACAAGTATCTATTGAATACCTAGTGCACCAGTGTACCTGCTACTGTAGGAGTTGCATTAAATTTATTTCTGGAATTCTGGAATTTTATTTAATTCCTAACAATAGTCTTATGAGGTCTTTTTGATTACTAACATTTTACAGAGAAGGAAATTAATACTCAGAGAGCTCAAGACACTTGCCCAAGACTACACAGCTGATCAATTGGATTTGAACAGTGGTGTGTTGGACTTCCATACCCATCCTCTCAAATACTGTGCTGCCAATTGTAATTTATTTCTCCCACTTATAAGAGGCAGAAAAGTATGCCAGTTCCTCATGGGAGAAAGCAATTTACTCAATTCTAATGTAATTCTTGTACATTAATCATTTCTTAACTCCATCCCCATCCCTATACTGAGCTGTTGACCAATCTCCCACTCTTCTCCTGGTCCCCTTTCCTGACATGACCCTTACTCTTATCCAAATTATCTGAATCTTTTGTGGCTCATTGACTTCTTATAAAAATATGATGAAAACTCCTCCCAAATATACATATGCCCTAATAACACATCTATGTTTAATTTCAGGGGGGTTATGAACCCTCAAGAAGTCCAACCATGGTAAACAATCCCCACATTAGATCTCCCCTTCTCTCTGACTAACATATCCCGGATGCAAGGAACTTAGAGCCCATTATTTCCTTAGTCCTAGCTTCCTTTATTATATCAATTGTTATCAAAATGAGGGATTTGGATTGGTTGACTGCTAATGTGTATTCTAGCCCTCAAATTCTATTTTTCTAATTTTATCATTTTCTACTTCTATTCTTCTACATATATTCTTTTAGCACGTCTCCCTTACACTCACACTCAAACAGCACAGCAATCTTGTCATTATGACAATGACTCTATGTGGCCCGGAGTAGACTGAGACATCACCTTACCCCAGAGTCAAATAAAACCTACAATTCTGCCATCATTAGTAACTGAATATGTCATGACATTTGGGGTGTGTCCCTGAAACCAGCAAACAGCTATTGATGATTAAGTAGCTAGTAACTAAAGTTTTTTTTCCTTTTTGCAATTCCTGATTATAGCTTTTAGTTGTTCCCTTGCCCATTGTTAGCTGTGCTGTGTAGGCAATATGCTATCTGACTCCCACTAGGTTCCTCTAGATAAGCTGGAGTCACCATGGTAATGGGTGTTTGAGCTGTTTTTCAGGAGTTAGAACCCCTTGTGAACTTCAAGTGGATTGAGACCACCAATCCATCAACTGGGCCCATGCAGATGTCCAATTAGTGACCTTTTGACGTCAAGAGGCTAAAATCTCCACCCTCAGGTCATGCTACCACTGCCATTTTGTGGACATATGTCCTATGAAGAGGCATGAAGTCTGACTACGCTTGCGCAGATCATCAATTACCTCACCTCTCTTCAACTCCAATCATCTATCTCCACATTTCAGACCACCTTCTCCCCTACCCCATAAATATCCCTGAGTCCCCATTTTCGGGGAGGCAGATTTGAGACTCATTCTCCCATTTCCTCACTTGCCTTGTGATTAAACCTTCTCTCTACTGTAATCTCATCATCTCAGCGTTTGCTTTCCAGGCAATGGGCAAAAATGAACCTGGTTTGGTAACATCCCCTATGCTAGTTAATAAACTAAAAATGAATCAAGAAAGAAGGTAATATATGGACGGCAGAGAATGATAGTGTGGGGAAGGAAAAATAATTTTCCCTCTACCCTTCTGGGTTCTTGGCTGAGACTCCTCTGTAATAAAAGACAGATTAACAGGAGAAAAACGAACAGAAGTTTAAGAACATGTATACTTCCTGTATATGGGGAAGATACCCAGGAAAACTGAGTAATTTCCCAAAATGGCCCAAGCCATCACCTTAAATACCATCTCCAGCTAAAGACAAAAGATGTTGTGGGTTGGAGAACCAGTTATGAGAGGTTATCAGGCAAAGCATAGTAAACAAGGGTAAGCTGTTATGCAGATTTAAGTCCATGACTTCCCCACTGATAAGAGTTTCTAGAGATTTAGAGTCATACTCTCAGTCCTGGTACAGAGAGGGAGACACCTTTCAAACGGATATTTCCCTCATATGTGAAATATCTCTTAAAAAAGGGTAACTACTACTCTGTTTTCAGAATTTCTCCTGTGTCTGCTATTTCCTAAAAGTAATCAGCTTAAAATAATCCTTATGCCAAAGAGGCATATTCTGGGGTGGCATGTTCTGCTCCCCTTTAATAGAAATGGCAGTGCAGGATAAAAAAAAAAAATAGAGAAGTCCTCAACTCAGAACCCATGCTGAGCATGAGAAGGTGCAAGGTCCCTCCTTTGAAAAGAGTTGTATATAGACACGTTCACTGATAGCACACACACAGTAAGCAAAGGCTCAAAATCTATCTTGGTGATGCTCATGACTTATGGCATATTGCCCAATATAGTATGGTCATCCGTACACAAGATGAATAATAACAGAGAATCCAGGTCAATTTTTTACCCCTATCATCAACATCATCATTTAGTGTTCAGTATAGACGGGTCTCAAAAATGTTTGGACAATTTTTTTATCTAGAGGAATACATTTTTTATGTTTAAGAACAACGTGTTTAACCCCATATGTTTCTCATGCTGTTCTGGCCAAGTCACAAAAACTAGGCAGAATTAAACATATAAAACAAGCAAAGAAAGAAAGAAACAAACAAACAAACAAACAAATCGTCTTTCCTTGCTCTCAGACATTCTTCGGGGTGAATTTTTTTCCTAAAAAACTAGACTCTGTGTGAATTTCAGGCCTGAGACAAACCTGAGGAATCACTTATTTAAGTCCATCATTTGCAGATGAGGAAACTGAGACCTGTAAATCACAGGAGTTGTTCAAAGTCATACAGTCAATATCAGCAGTACTGAGACTGTAAGATGAATACCTGGCCTGGTATTCACACTCTCTACCTCTTTCAAATAACACCCCCTTTATTTTGCCAGGAGCTGTGATAAGCCTTCAGGGACAGCACAGCCAGCAGCTCTGTTGACTGAGTGGTTAGCAGGGTTTCGGTACAGGAAGCAGGTGGCAGTGCCCCACTGTGTGTCTGCAGCACAGAGGTAGGTGACTGAGTCTGCAGGCTGGGAGGCTGTGATATGAAAGGAGCCCTGTTTGGTGGTTGTATCAAATGTGGCCCTCAGCCTTCCCGTCTGTTTCTCAGGCTCATTTTCACGTATTAGTAGCAAGAAGATGAGGCCTTTTCCCATATCTTGTCGATACCACTGTAAGGACTCTGGAGAATAATTTGTGTAGTTACAGGTCAGAATGGCCTTTTCACCCTCCTGGATGCTCAGGGACTGAGGAGTCTGTTCCATCCTTTGGCTGCTCACCCCTAGGCAGAAACACAATGCCAGAAGCAAGAGGTTTAGTCATTACTCCGACACTCTTAAGAACCATGTTTTCTTCTCACAACCCAGATATAACCAAAGAGGAAGCAGAATGGATCCTGGCGCTTTCCCCTCCATCCTGTGGGCTGTGTCCCTGGATCTCCTTGTCCCCATCATCAGGAAGCCTCCAACTCACAGTCCACTGGAAGCCACAAAATCACCAAAACAACTCCCAGGAACAGCTCCATTTTCTTCCCAGCTGTGGCCTGAAATATGGACTCAGTCTCCTCAGTCAAAAAGCCATTCTCATTCCTCTATCAGAGGAAGTCTTTGCTTCCTACCCAGCCAATCAGTGACGAGTCTATTCAGCCCTTTACATACACAACTGGCCTAATCCAACTTTAAAGTGAACTTTATTTCAAAGCTGAGTAAGGATCTGAAGGGATAGAAAACATTGCCATCTTGTGTTCAGAAGGCTTTTGCGATAATGGAATGTGCTCTAGAACAGTGCTTCTCAAACTTACTGCACATAGGAGTCACCTAGGGATTTTGCTAAGTTGCAGATTCTGTTTCTTGAGGTCTGGGGATGGGGTTGGATAGTCTACATTTCTAACAAGTTTACTGGGGATGTTGGTGCTGCTGGTTCTCAGATCACGCTTTAAGTAGCAAGTTTAGAAGAATCTACAGTTGAGTATCAGTACATGAAAACAGAATTTGCAGTATGAAGGTTTGAAACAGGACAAATGATCAAATTTCCCAAGGTCTCCATTCCATTGCCCAGTGAAACTACTCTGCTGTTCCCACACAATAGTTGCCAGAGGATGTCATGAGCCCTAGATAAGGTAAAGCACAGGAGAAGGCATGGAGAATGCATGGCTGAATTCTAGGAACTTTCTCAGATCCAGGGAGTGGAACTGCTCTCTTCACCCCTATTGTTCTCCCCGCAGGTTGGGAAATTATTGCTTTGACATCGAAAAGTCTTTCTTATAGGTCTTGCTGGGCTATCATAAGTAAATACTCAGTTTAAATCCAGTAAGAACTCAAATTAGTGAAGTTTGCCCAGTCATGCAGAATGCTCTCTGGGAGGCCCTGTAAATTGCTCTTGTAATACAATAGTCCTCCAATTGCATATATCAGAATTTCCTTCTTCTCTACTTTGCTAATGCCAAGATTGATGTACTGTAGTCATTTCCTCAAATGGATGGATAGATGGACAGACAGATGGACAGATGTATGCCTGGAAGAAAGAAAGATGAAAATGGGCTGGAGCATGATGAGAGATAGAGCTGGAGGGAGAGTTTGAGTCTAGAATGCAGAAAATTTTGAATGCCTGAATTCATTCGTAAGTCATTTATTAGCAAAGAACTACTGAGGCTTTTGAGCAAGTGAGTAATATTGTGTAAATTCTATACTTTTAATCTGGCTGCTTGTCCACAGAGTAATTTGGAGAGGTAGCTTGTAGGTATTGTAGAGTAATCTTTAAGAAACTGTGTTCCAGTCTCAAGCTGATCTGGCTTTGAAACCCAGCTGTTCCCCTTAATCTCTCTGGTCTTTTGAACAGGCAACTTAATGTCTTCAAGTTCTAATTTCCTTGTATGTAAAATAGGATACCATCAGGGTGTTCTTAAGAGGACTAGAGGGACTAATGTACATAAAACACCTTGTACATACATCATAAACACTGTAAGAACTCAATAAATGTGAAGTATTAATATAGGAAAAGGAATGCAATGGAGACTGAACAACCAGTCAGGAGGTCATTGCTGCCTTCTCATTGTGAGGTAGAGTACTGAACCACAGCCAGTGAACATCAGAGCTAGGAGAAACTTTGGAGAATTTACAGAAAATAATGGATTAGTGAGACTTCAAATCAAAAAAGATTCATATTTTGGAAAATAGATAAAATGGAATAAAAAGAGAAAAATCTCTACTTATCCTATCAAGCAAGGATATACATTATCAATATCTTGGTGTATTACTTTCCAACCTTTGCAATGTTTATATTTTTACAAAGTAGCAATAACATCAGTTAATATCTTGATTCTTTTCAGTTATCGCTTTTAAATAATCATTATAGATTCTCTTTATAAATACCATTTATTTGCTATATAATATTCCATTTGGGTGATTAAACCTTTCCCTTTAAGATTAGATATTTTGGTTTTCAATTTTGGGGTGGTATAAGTAACTTTCCAAATATCTTTGCAGAAAATTATTTTTTATGCATTGAGGATTCTCCTGAAGATAGATTCCATAGAGAAAATTACAACAAAGAAAATTAATATGGTTTTAGATTACTAAGTCATCTTTTTTAATTATAAGCATACCTTGTTTTATTGTGCTTTGCAGATATTGTATTTCTTACAAATTTAAGGTTTGTGATAACCCTGCATTGAGCAAGTCTATCGGCACGATTTTTCCATCAACATTGGCTCACTTCATGTCTCTGTGTCACATTGTGGTAATTCTCACAGTATTTCAAACTTTTTAATTATTAGTATATTTGTTATGGTGATCTATGACAAGTGAACTTTGATGTTACTATTGTAATTGTTTGGGCGCACCACAAATTATGCCCATATAAGAAGGCAAACTTAATCCATAAACATTGTGTGTGTTCTGAGTGCTCCACCAACTGGCTGTTCCACCACCTCTCTCCCTCTCCTTAGGCCCCTGTGTTCCCTGAAACACAACAATATTGAAATTAGGCCAAATAATAACCCTACAATGGCCCCTAAGTGTTAAAGTGAAAGGGAAAGTCGCACGAATCTCACTTTAAGATTGAGATTAAATCAATCTCAATCAAAGATTGAGATTTTTGATTGAGAAAAAATCAAAAGCTAGAATCGTTTCTAGGCTCAGTGAGGAAGGCATGTTGGAAGCTGATATAGGCTGAAAGCCAGGCCTCTTGCACCAAACAATTAGCCAATGAATGCAAAGGAAAAGTTGTTAAAGAAAATTAAAAGTGTTACTCCAGTGAACATGAAAATGATAAGAAAGCAAAACAGCCTTATTGCTAATATGGAGAAAGTTTTAGTGATCTGGATAGAAGATCAACCCAGCCACAACATTCCCTGAAGCCAAAGCCTAATCCAGAGCAAGGCCTAACTCTCTTCAATTCTATGAAGGTTAAGAGAGGCGAGGAAGCTGCAGAAGAAAAGTTTGAAGCTAGCAGATGTTGGTTCATGAGGTTTTAGGAAAGAAGCTGTCTTCATAACATAAAAGTGCAAGGTGAAGCAGCAAGTGCTGATGTAGAAGCTGCAGCAAGTTATCCAGATCTAGCTAAGATGATTAATGAAAGTGGCTACAATAAACAACAGATTTTCCATGTAAGTGAAACAGCCTTATATTGGAAGAAGATGGCATCTAGGACTTTCATAGCTAGAGAGGAGAAGTCAATGCCTGGCTTCAAAGCTTCAAAGGACAGGCTGACTCTCTCCATAGGGGCTAATGTAGCTGGTGACTTTAAGTTGAAGCCAGTGTTCATTTACCATTCCCAAAATCCTAGGGCCCTTCAGAATTATGCTAAATCTCTCTGCCTGTGCTCTATAAATGAAACAATAAAGACTGGATGACAGCACATCTTTTTACAACATGGTTTAGTGAATATTTTAAGCCTGCTGTTGAAACCTACCACTCAGAAAAAAATGATTCTTATCAAAATATTGCTGCTCATTGACAATGCAACTGGTGACCCAAGAGCTCTGATGGAGATGTACAAGATTAATATTGTTTTCATACCTGCTAACACAACATCCATTCTGTATCCCATGGATCAAGGAGTAATTTCAATTTTCAAATCTTATCATTTAAGAAATATATTTCATAAGGCTATAACTGTCATAGATAGTCATTATTCTGGTGGATCTGGGAAAAGAAAACTAAAAACTTTCTGGAAAGGATTCACCGTTCTAGATGCCATTAAGAACATTCGTGATTCATGGGAAAAGGTCAAAATATCAACATTAACTGGAGTTTGGAAGAAGTTGACTGCAACCCTCATGGAAGACTTCGAGAGGTTCAAGACTTCAGTGGAGGAAGTAACTGCAGATGTGATGGAAATAGCAAAAGAATTAGAATTAGAAGTAGAGCCTGAAGATGTGACTGAATTCCTGCAATCTCAAAACAGATGAGGAGTTCCTTCGTATGAATGAGCAAAGAAAGTGGTTTCTTGAGATGGAATCTACCCCTGGGGAAGACGCTGTAAAGATTGTTGAAATGACAACAAAGGATTTAGAATATTACACAAACTTAGTTGGTAAAGCAGCAGCAGGATTTGAGAGGATTGACTCCAATTATGAAAGAAGTTCTACTGTCAGTAAAATGCTATCAAACAGCTTTACATGCTACCGAGAAACCATTCATGAAAGGAAGAGTCAATTGATGCAGCAAACTTCATTGTTGTCTTATTTTAAGAAATTGCCACAGCCACCCCAGCCTCCCGCAACCACCACCCTGATCAATCAGCAGCCATCAACATTGAGGCAAGACCCTCCATCAGCCAAAAGATTATAACTCACTGAAGTCTCAGATGATGGTTAGCATTTTTTATCAATAACGTACTTTTTAATTAAGATATGTACATTTTTTTTTTAGACATAATGCTACTGCACACTTAATAGACTACAGTATAGTGTAAATGTCACTTTGTATGCACTGGGAAACCAAAAAATTTGTGTGACTTGCTTTATTGCAATATTCACTTTATTGTGGTGGTATGGAAGGAACCCGCAATATCTCCGAGGTATGTCTGTCCTTTCCAAAATAGCCTACAAACTGACTTTCTCACTAGAGTATGTCTATATCACTGTATCCTGTCCAAATTATCTTTTTTTAATTTGCTATTGAATTATTCCTATAAATCTCTAAAGAGTTTTTTAAACTATTTGTTTAATTTTTATGAATACCACTAGGTTTAAACATTTTCCATGTGTTTGTGAACCACGTTGTTTTTTCCAATGTAAATTGCCTCATCATATCTTCTGTATATTTACCTACTTGGATATAAATGTTTTTCTTTTTGTGCATATAAAAATTATTTAGAAAAATTATTAATCTTTTGTCAAATTAGCAAATTAACAGTAAACTGTGGTTTGAATGTAATTTTGATCATTTTTTTTCATAGAATAAATTAGCTTTTAATATTTACGTAATCAGATTTTCTATTTTTGCCCTTGATCTCTTCTATCATTTTTAAGTTTAGAAAGTCCTTCCCCATTCAGTTATTTGATTAATCTACATTTACATT